TTGGATTCTTTAGATAATTTACCTAAATGTCTCCAGTAGCCTCTGTAAAAACACAGGATACTGGCCTAAGTAGATCTTTGCTTGTTGGCTAGTTTGGAAGTTCTGAAGAAAGGCAGTATGACATGAATTAAAGAAATTCAGCTCTTTATCTGCACAGATTTCAAAAACACTTTTCAAACTTCAAGTACTGTACATACTTGATAGGCAAATCTTTAGCTACTATAAAATCTTCATGAACTCTCAGAAGCAAAGGAATTAAATGGAAAGGAAATAAACATCCAGTTTTAAGAAATGATAGCTCACTTACAGAAGAGCTGAGAGGTGGTTCTTCCTCCTCTCATGTCCCTTTCCTCATACGCTCCTATTCCCCACCTTGTGCTGATTTATCAGATCATGGGTTGATTAAATTCTCTGTACCTGCATATTTCTTTCCTAGTTTAATTAAGTGAATTAAACTCAAGAGACAGTCTAGGGCATGCACAGAGAGAGGAGGGGTCACGGAGCAAGACCCATTTTGATGGCAGAGTTTTGTTTGGTCAGTTATGCTGCTCATGGAACTGCAGCCTTATAGCCCATAGTGTCCTCTCACATGGAAAACACCCTTCACTACTTCCTGCCACTTGGAAAACACAGTATCACTGTAGTTTCACACACACAGCCCACCTCCCAGACAGCCCACACTTTTCTAAGGGTACTGTTCCAAGAAAATACTCAGAAAACCCCATCTCCAGTTTGAACTAGCTTTTACTCCACATCCAGTGTGGTTTCAATGAAAATATAATCAAAATTGTGATCACATCTCACAAATTTGGCCCTTCCAAGGAAAAATCAACAGAAAATGAGATAATGAAAAACATCAATTGATGCTTAAATCATACCAAATAATCCTTCCGTCAAACATTGTTAAGACTATTCAATCTGCTAGGCTAAAGTCTTCACCCCTCACATTTACTCACATAAACAAGAAACAACATCTTTCTTTCTTCCAGCTTACTACCTATGTACCTGCATACCAGAGCGCAGTGACGTACAAAGCAAGGAATGAATGGTAATGCATGCTACAGTGACTATGACTTCTGGAAGGGCTGCAGTGACTTCTGATACTGCGAAAAAAATAACCAAACAAGTGCTCTCAGATAATTGGTCACGGTTTCACAGATTCTCAGGTAGAGCCTGATTCACATCCCGTGTAAATTAGCAACACCACAATTTAAAACTAGTGGAACCACTAATAATAATAGCAGAAGTAATGGAAATCTTCTTTTCACTTGCAACTGGAATTACTGAATATTAAGTTGAATATGTAGAAAATGTTGAGCTACCAATGAAAAGCAAAGGGTAAAATGAGAAGTAAAAACAGGTTGGAAGACTCTTTTAGAAAGCAAAGTAAAACTAACGTTACATTATGAGAAAAAAAACTTGTCAAAATTTTGTTTCCTGTTGCAGTTTTTACATTAATGTTTATAACATACCTGTTACCTGTTTCTTCAACTTTTCAATTTCTTCTTTCAAACTTTTAATTTCTAAATCTTTGCTTGCTGTTATTGGGCCATCCACTGTTGAATACTGCAGAGCCTGGACTGTCTGGGTGGACTCTAGAAAAAGGTGGAAGAAAGAGGGACAAATTACACACCTGACATCTGAGCAGGTCAAAAAGATATCACTGATAAATTAAGACATGCTAAAAAGCCTCTCCATGAGGATTCCACAATTTGTAACTTCCAACTACTAAGTGCTAATTTTCCAGTAATTGTCAGCTAGACAAACTAAGTTCTTAGAAGTTTTAAGAATGAAATCTTTATGCCCTAGTAGCCAAGTCAAGGTGTGAACAAAGTTAGTAAGTTATAAGAAGTTGCATACATGGGATATTTCAGGCACAAAGAGTAAGAGAAGTCTAATTTGTCAACAGAAATAATAAAGAGAATTCTTTTCTGCTAGAAAGCATTCCAGGAGATATATTTATTTTTTCTCCGTAGTATAAACCATACGTGATGAAGCTGCAAGCTAACCTAAGTTTAAAAAGTGATGGAATTAATTTTTTTAATGACTATACCTTGCAGTTTTCTACTAAGTTCAAGCTTTTCCTGTTCTAGACGTCTTATTCTCCTCTCATAAGCTTCTGTTGCTAAACTATCCTCCAAAGTTCTTTGAATGCTGGCATCAAGATCCATGGAGGGCGGTCCAGCTGTCAGTCTTAGACAGCTGCGGTCTGAAAGCACACTGGGAGAAAAAAATTAAACAGCATTGGATTTTACAACAGGCTGTGTTTAAAATAATTTTTAAAACCCAATATAAACCAATAAATTGTTGTTTAAACTGTCAATTACTATGTAATTTATTATACAGTCAAATAATACCTTGTTACTGTGTGCTCATTAAAAACTGAATTGATTTTTACCTAGCATAACTTTGTTACATAAAATTGAATGAAGTCCTGATTAAAAATGATCCTTATGGACACTCTACATTAGTCAGATAGCATAAAGCAAAAATCTGGATAGTTAGTAAGATTACAGTAACAGTATATTTTAAAATAATTAATCAAATTTCCCAAATATGTTAAAGAAAACAATCACAATAAAAGGTGTGAAATTATCAGATGACAACTAGGGCACGTACATATCAGAAATGCTGTGGCCCTGATTCTGTGGACACTCATGTACACAGACTACTACTTCTGCAAATAATCCTTTTGAGGTCTACAGGACATGTCACATAACCAGTATTAAGCACATATGTTTGCAGAAACATAGGCCTGGTTTTTCAATGGTTGTAACATTATTTATTTTCATAAATTATCAAGAAGCATACATGGAATTCCTTGTTACTGTTTATTTAGCAGCAGAGATGAACATGACAAATACCACATTAATACCAAATATCAATAATTTTTTTTAGCATTTCCATTCAGCCTTACAAGAGTGTCAAAGGACAGAAAATAAACCATTTTTAAAGTCTTAACAAAGCTAAGTTCTTTCTGGTTCCACACAGCTAGTCTTAACCTTGTCACATGCAGTTAACTTCACACATTGTCTGAAAACCACCTTCCTCAACACAACTCCCTCCAACACAGGTGCTGACCATTAAATTCATGTAACTTTACCTGCAGAGAGCTCATTCTTTTGGGCAGACAGCATTTTAGATTATGGCCTATAATTTCCTCAATAAACCACATTTTTTGGTATCTGTTTGCAGTTGGCTTCAGAGACAGAAACTTAAGATATTATGTAACTATCCTACAGACAATTTTTGAACTCTTAACTTACCAGCTACTTGTATATGTGAAACCCACAAATGGTAAATGATGGCCAGAAAATGCAGTGTGTGATGGTGGAGGCATTGTTTCCTAGAAAAAGAATAGGACAGTTAAGTAATATCCTACTGTACTTAAGATTTTTGAGTTTAACCATATGTGAAGTGTTACTGACAATACCATATTAAGGATGACTGTACATATAGGTATTTACAGCACAGGTATGAAACGGCATCACCTAAATCTATTTATAATAGCATGCAATATACAAAAACACAGCACGATGGCATAAAAATGCTTTTCTAATTATATAGGCTATCATTGGAGGAAAGCAGAATATTACACACACTAAAAGCCAATTTATTCCTTCTTTTTTCCAAGAAGCTCTTAGCACACAGAGTATCACCTTTTATTCCCTCATACACTCCTCTCTGCTATTTATCACAGGGCTTCCTGCCTATAGATTTACCAGCCCCACTTCTGAGGAGGGTAGCTTTATTTGGAGAGAACAATAGTCAGACATTTACTAGAAAGAAGTAATACAACAGGGTTTTCTAATCCCATTAGTGCTTTGACTGGCGCTTTCTTCCTTCATTGCTCCTTTTTCCTGTCAGACAAAGAACTACAAGCCAAGACAAATCTTTGAGCTTCTCAGGCTAAAATAATCCTGTTGCTATATTACTTGAACCATTATAAGTTCTAATATTCTTAAACACCCTGTTAAAATTTTCCTGTTTAACCCCATGATGCAAGGTTTATGTTGCTATACTAGAGGTGGCCTTAATGGTCATCAAAAGAAACTCCCTAAGAAGACTATCACACTGAAAGTGCTAAAAGGTTCTAAATTTTAAGAAAAGGTGACACAATGATGTTTTTCAAAGAAAAAAAAAAAAAAAAAAGAAGAAAGGAACCAGTTGTGCATTTTTTTACATGTAAAATTCATCAGGAGAGAACAAGCCAGTATTCAAAAGAAATCCAAAACTACCTCTTCAGTGGTGGTGTCAGCTATATTATACCACAACCTTGCACTTTTAGCAGACAAAAATCTTCACACTGAAAAAAGAGTTCCCAGAAATAAAGCAACACCAATGACACGACTAGACTGTGTAAGTACATTAAGTCTACACTGTTGGGCATTTTGGAAACTAAGATGATGACGAAATTACAAAGCCTTAACTTTCCACTAATCGATAATAAAAATATCAATTATTATACACTATGGTTCGGAAAAGTAAAATTCTTTACTTCTCCTTTATATTTTATTTTCATATTTCATAGATTCAAGTTTCAAAACAGTCTTTACAAATAACTTCAAAAAAGACCAAATGTGTAATTGTGCAATTCTAACAGCCCATATGACAGTTTACAGACACCATACAGGCAAAACAGTGTTGGTTCTAAAATATCACATATATTGATAACAACATAAGATTCTATTAAAGAATTTTGTTTCTTCGCTGATTCTTTGGCTGAGATCAAAATACTTATTTCCTGCTACTTGTGTGAATTCAACTGTACTATCATACTGACAAAATTATAACTGAATCTACGTCTATTATGCCACCTGGACAAAATAAGGTGCAAACAGATATCTGAAGACTGTATAAAAAAGTTTTAAGATAAAAATACTTTATTTGTGAAGGGAGATAGGCAACACCAGATGCAAGTGAGGAAAAACTGAGGAAAAAATGAAAGCATGTTCTAAGCAGCTAGACTGATTTGCTTAATTTGCCTCTATGAAAGGACTCGGAGCTAATGCTCCACACCACATACATCTACCACTGGATTTCATCTAGTCAAAGTGTTTTCCATGTTTTACTGTGCAGTTTGAGGAAAGAGAATGCAAATAATGATCATCCTGCCTATATCCACTCATGTTGCCCTTTGTTTATCTGTAGGTCCAGGAAGCTCAGTGGAACTGAGGTGCACAGGCAGTTCAGAAAACAAAAGTAAAAATGGTGAAAATGCTTCACCTCACACGTAAACAGCAAGTTTCTTTTCATCTTTCATCAAACACCAAAAAACCCACAGTATTTCCAAAGAGAAAACATGAGGCATTCCTCTGGATGCTAAGACCTCTGTCATCTGTAAAAGTTACTGTTCAAAAGCAGAGAAACACTAAGGCTGTTAAAAATCAATAGTCACAAAGTTTTTTAAGCAGAGGCAAAGTAATTTCTTTCTCACTAAGATTGTTCCTGAAGAAATAGCTGCAGCATTTCTCCTGAATTTCACAAAACTCAAGTCAGAAAACAAGCTGGAAAAATTTTAGTGGAAATGAAGTGAATGGAATCTGACAGAGATACAAGCAACTAGAGTAGAGCACTACAAAGCAAAGTATTATGCAAACTTTGTACAAGTCTCAACAATGCTCCGCTAGAAATACTGCATCTTGCAGACTATCTACATGTAAATATATTTATTCTTTATAAGACCTGGACATTAAGAACTTGTTACTGCGAATAACAGATGTATGCTTTAGTTAAACGAGTGTAAAGTTTCAATGAATTTACAAAACTGAACTGTAGCTATCCTTACACTTCTATTTTTGGAGGAACAGCCTATGAAGTATGAATGTATTCCCCCAACAGTTCTTCAAAGCAGCACTTTGTTGTTTATGCAGAACACAGTGAACACATTGAAATAAAGTGCCATTTACACATATTTTGTTGTAAAGTATACTAAAAAAGCAGATTTGTCAAAATGTTAATTCTGTACTTACAGAATTTTTTAAGCAATCATCATCCACATCAAAGTTTGATGTATCGGTGGGGCTGCTGACTTCGGGGATGTAAGGTGCCTCACAGTTTCTAATGTTGTCCCAATCAATCCCAGCAAAAAATGGATGGTTCTTAAAGTCTTCTATCCCGTTTTGTCCAAGTCGATGCTCTCTGCTACAAATGAGCCTTCGGATGAGGTCCTTTGCACTTTCAGAGACATCTGTCACTTGAGCAGGAAACTGAAACCTTTCCTTAAAGAATAAAATATGAGAAAATAGTTTATTACCAAGAAAAAGTTGGAAAAATCACAGTTCTTGGTGAAAATTATTATGTAGAAAAAGAAATACTCTGGATCTTAAATATATGCAGTAAGGTTTCTAGGAAAAAGACTTCCCCAAAGGACAGAAACTAATGAATTTTTTTTTCTCCGTTTTCTTCTTTATTTAAATTTCTCTTACACTGTTGAATTCTACAGCTACCTGCATGGGGAAGAACATTTAAGAATCTTCTGCATAAGCCAACCAATGGATCCCGCCAGAAGAAAGCAACGCAAAAGGAGTGATGCAATGCAGCCAAGATTTACTCCAGAGTGAACTAACAGCCATGTTTCCAAATCCAGATTTTTAGTTTTGAACTGCATTATTCTAAAGCAAAGCCATCTGCAATCCATAACCATAAACTTACTATCTGGAAACATATTTTTTTGTTCTACATTTATGAACATTAAAAATGAGTTTTTATGTCCTAATTATATTAAATAAGCCTCCAAGTTACCCTATTACTTATAAAAATTAGCTTAGAAAAAGACAGAAAGAGAAAATGCACTAACTTTGTGGTTCATTATTTTCCCATAGGTCTCCACCAAGGACTCAGCATAAAATGGTGTTTCTCCATAAAGCATTTCATACATGCAAACTCCCAGGGACCACCAGTCACACTCGGGCCCATACTTCCCTTTTCCATCTTCCATGGCCTGCAATATTTCTGGAGAGATGTAGTCTGGTGTTCCAACTGCCACTGAAGATTGGACCTGTAGAAGTTACATTTCCAGGACTAAAATCAACTTCCATTGTTATAGACATTGCTGTTCGTGGCACTGTGTATGTATATACAAATTTAGCCTAGTGTTCTGGTTATACCAATAACAACTAAACATAATAAAAAGGCTTCTAAATTCATAAATAAACACATAAGCATCCAAGGCACTACATTAATAGGCATCCCAATAATACACTTTTGCTCAACTCTTACAAATATTTAATAACAAAAAACAAAACTGTCCCTTCTTAGGCTTAAGGTTGTTATTAAGTAATTACTCAAATACTTTGGAACACTCTGGGACATGATTAACACACTGGAATTACATTCTAGTCACACTTACTATATAGTGTGCAAGTTTAAATATACTGCTAAAATATGACGGTATGTTAATTGCGTCTCATCTGCTTATACTAAAGCTTATATTCTCAAAAAAGATTAGAGCTCAGAGTTCAAAACTGAGAAATTCATAGTTCTTCAACAAATACTTTCTCAGAACTGACAGTGCAGCTTCTCTTTATTTACTAATGAGTTAACTATATGCATTTTAAAAGCTTTTAACAGAGTAAAACCAAGCAAAGTGCAGTCACACTTTGAACTGAGGTTAGTTCCACACCAACACCATTACAATTCTGTTCCATGTGACATAAGGCACCTTTTCTCTTTATTCACACACATTTTAGCAGCTAGCAAAGGACTGAAGAAAAAGTGTTTAGGAATATATCATTCTTTTTAATTTACCGTTCCATCTTCCATCAGTTTCAGACAAGAACCAAAATCTGCTAATCTAATGTGTCCATTCATATCCATCAAAATGTTGTCCGGTTTAATATCCCTGCAAATAAAACACATTTCAGAATTAGGATAAAAATGTATTGCAAAACATATAGTCCAAACATTAACTCTGCAACACCCTTATAATTCAAAACCAGCAACACATCAGCCGATGGAACACAGTCACTCATCATATGATGAAATTTGCACCAAGGACATTTCACGACAGGGGCTGTGGGTCAAATCATATAATGCCTGTTAATGTTAGTAAGAATTGTGTGGTCAAATTCCTCTCACGTCTCACAGATAGGTAGGAGAATCTTACTCACTCTGAACTTTTGTACATAAAAACTTTTAAATCATCTAAAGATTTTTAGTGAAGAACTCTGAAGTGAAAGATATATGCCTATACTGGAGCTGTAAAACAATCTCTAAGTCTTACTATAGAACAAAGGTCAATGAAGCCCTAAAATAATTAACACATTTTTAAATTTAGCGCCTCTCATCAACATTTTTCTCTTGCATGTATGTCAGCTCACTACGTATGTCTGTCATACTTCCGCTGAAATGACCATCATTACACACTGCTGCAGCTCTGCTCGGCCAAATTCTGCAGCTGCCTCATTCAGGTCATGAGACACATGGAAAAATCTTTCTAAGCAGGCAACATAATAAATACTCCTTATTTTGCAAATTTGACTCTTTTTTTGTCTTGTGTTTTAGATAGACCTAAGTATACTGAAATATGGATGAAGTGTATGCCCCCAGGATGCAGCTGACTCGGACTAAAGCATCTATGCTCTCTAAGTTACGAGAGGTACACTCATTGTTCACCTTGCAAACTATGTTCAAATGTTGAAATTCCTTTTCATTATAGTTATTAGAAATATCCATTAAGATACATTTTTAAAATATATGGCATTATGACATTCTTACTCTAACCTTATCTATTATATTTAAAAGATAACTATAACTGTATGAAGTACTATGAATACTTTCTCAGTGAACAGTCATTTGTAAGACGTAAGATCGAATCCCCTAAAACAAACAAAAACCAAGTGAAGCCCTGACTTTGCTCCATTCCCCTAACAACTTATAAATTAATGTCATCAAATGCTTTGCAGACAAATTTCAAAATATGCACAAGCTAAGCTATCCACATTGCACGAGAGCAAGGTTTTGTTGGGGTTTTTTTAATAAAAACTGAGTTATAAACAATATTTACTGAGAATTTATAATGACAAAAAAATTAGAACCTTGAACACCTTCACCAACATTATAGAAGCAATGGCATGAAGGTGTCTCACTGTTATACACTCATATATTCAAACCAATGGTTTTTTTGAAGAAAAGTACTTTCTAAATTTGTTTCACCCAAAGACAAGCAGGCAGTGGCCCATGCTGATACCAAAATTTTAGCCACCTTCCAAACATGCAGAAATATTTACAAAGTAAGAAGCAAACACTACTTAAGAAATCATACTTTCACATGTCGCAACTGAGCGTAAAGACAAGTCTTTACAAAGTAAATCATAAAAACAACCAAGTCCATTCTCTAAATAACGTTCTTCCACTTAATTTTTGCTGACACCGGATATGCCAAAGAACTGCAACCTCCAGACTGAGAGTGTTTTATTTATTTTACATTCATCCACCAAAAACATTCCTTAAACATGTTCCTAAATAAAAACAAACACATGCTATTGAGACCTCTGGAATTACAACTTCAGTTTAAAACACTTTGCAGAAACATGCACCTAAAAATCAAGTTCCTCTTGGAAGCTGGACCTCGTTCAAGCTAAACAAAAACATGAGTCACCCTTGAGGCTCCACTTATCCACGTTCTATCTTTTAATATACTCCCAAGAGAAATAATAATAAGCATCATCCCAACCTCCCCCATTAGATCTCACAAAACAGCAGAAAATATGAAAAAATCTCACTCTGTTGTCAACACTGTGCAAAAACAAACACACAAACAACACTGAAAGCACTCAGAGGAACAAGTATTTCTTGCAAAGCGAAGTTTGTAAGGCTCAGTAATAACTTCATAAGAACAACTTTTATCGTTAAGGAAAAAAAGAAACCACCTTAATGCATACAAATTATTTTCAGCTCTTATAACAGAAAGTATGGGTTATGAACAACTGTTGGGAACTCAACTGAACTACGTTAATAAAAGACAGTTCGAAAGACAAGAATTGCTGGCACCTGCAGAGCAGAGTAGGCTACAAGCAAAGGGAAAGTTAAGAAAATTATGAGCCCCAGAGGGGAACAAGGAAGGGGAGTAACTATTGCCAGTGTAACTGAAGAATTTGAAGGTGGTGATTACGGGGAAAAATAATATGTCATAAACCCCACATCTCTACTGAGCCTGAGTTGTTAGATTCAACTAGAATTATGATTTCTTTCCCAGGTTTTTGTTTTGAATGACATCTAGTGACTAGTGATCAGAACTGATGCTTCTCCTGTTCAAAAAAGAGGATGGTCTTCTCTCTTCACACCCACTCCACATTCCCTGGCTTATCCCAGTTTCTTTACTGTATAAACTTGTTCCCCCTTCCCACACTTCCATCTGGGCTGCAGTTTTATTCCTATCATACCCTGCCTCCTAGACTTGCCTCAGAAGTTGAGATGTCCAACCCTCCACAGCCTATCAACCCAAGTCTCCCTTTCTATTTCCTTCTTTAGCTCTCAGCTTCTTCACTCCCAAGTCCTAGTCTCCCTGCATGTACACATTTAACTGATGTTTTTTTCTCCCATCTCAGTTCTCAGCAGTCAGTATTTCCCCATAATTGCTTCCCAGATTCCCTTCTCATTCCTACTGCCTTCCTATTCCTCTCATCCTTACTATTCTCTTTCCTCATGTCCAATTTTTGTTCTGTTGCACAGGAATCTTCTCTGGCATCAAAAGGGAGAACGCTATTAACAACAGAGAGCCTCCACACTGTCTCCCAAAACTGCAGGGCAAGTCCCTTCATTCTTACAGCTCCGAAACAGTGCAAACCTACAGCAGAAGAAAACTGAAAAGCATTTAGGGATCAAACTCTGCACATGGTTGAAACTTGTAACAACTGGCATATTGGGGGGAAAATTATAACCTGAAAATATCTAGGTGGAGGGCAGAAGAATGAAAACACGTCCATGACTGAAGGAAGAATCTCTCCTGGATTTCACCGGTGTATCCATATCCCAGAGCAGATGAATTTCTCACAGGGCTTGTAAGAATTATTTTATTCATTTAGAATCTATACAGGAAAAAACAATGCATGTTTCCTGATCTTGTTCCTGGAAAGAGATGACACTTAATACTTCAGGCAGATACCAAGGAAGGAAAATTCCAGACTAACTAGCTAAAATCTGGCAAAAGTAATCAGCAAATAACGAAAAGTTATACGGTTTAGTGAATAGACCACTGGGCTGAATCTCTGTAGTTAAGAGTTACTAGATGATTGTGGGCAAACCATTTCAACATCACGCGATGATAACACTGGTGCTCAGACAAGCAACTAATATCATCCGGCTAGAAGGCTATGGAGCACTAATAACGCTGTAATTATCTCACTATAATAAAAGGGCCTGCTCACTTCAAATATGAAATAAAAATTAAGTTTCAAGATGTATAAGCATTTGGAAGCCATTTTATGAACCAGATTAATAGTGGGAACAAGTATTGAATGGGGGAATTGCTCTGACACCCCTGTGCCCTCTGAAGTCCCTGAGTTCTACCAAGTCTCAGACAGTTCCGCCCTACTCTTGAGGCCAGCTTCTGTGCGAAGCCCAATGTGCAATGGGTACAGGTTGCCAGAGTTAGGCTTGGTACAAATGAAGCTAGTACAAGTTCTTCAAATGTACTCCACCGTGAACTAAGGGAAGACGGGTACTTGGCATACCCAAAGAAATACAAACCTTCCTTATATCATTTTTTTTGTAGCATTGACACTTGAGGACATGAACTGAGCAAAGACTGCTGTTCTGCTTTTTTTGAATGAGTGATATACCAGCATCAAAGGAGCTAGAAGTCGGCATCAAATAAACTTCTTTAAAAACAAGTATGTCCATTTAAACCATGACTCCAACACAGAGTACAGGAATGGCTTCTGTTTTTCTGAGCTTCATTGGCCTGGACTGTAGGAGAAAATCAGCACTGCACAGCAGCTTGGATAAAGTGATGGTCTTTGTTTTGCAGACTTTCGTTATTTGCTTCTGCTCATCTGGAGAATGGTATAGGAATAAACAGTCTTTGTGATAACTGGCAACTTCACTTGCACAGAAAATGAGTGTGGAGGCTTATGAAAAAATGTGAAAAATCTTTAATAAATCATTTTTCATAATGTTTCTTGGCTTAATTTGGGGAGCTGTTCTTCAGATTGGCATGTTTACCCAGGTGACTTTACCCACCTCTCTTTAAAACAGTTTACTTTCTCAAGCCATAATTAAAACCCTAACATTTTACATACTAACTGTGTTAACATAAACAACACTCTGAAATAGGACTATGGCAGATACCTGGATTATTGCCATTCATTTTGATTTCTCTGTTAATAAGCCAGAGTAGAATTTCATTTGTTCCGTAAGACTCAAGAAAAAGTATTCCCTCTGAGACATGCTAAATCCATAGCACATTCCAGCTGTAAAACAAACTAAAAAGAATTTTTAATACATGTGAATGTACTTTTTTTTTTCCTGGATTCATTTCTTACACTAAATGAAACTTCAGGAATTGTGAGGTCTTGCATATTGAAATTTGGACTAGACAACCTTCTTAAGTTCCTTCCAACTTGAAATGTTTGATCATCTTATGGTTTCAAAGTATACCTGTTCCTGAGGTTCGTCTCTGCCATTCTTTGAATCATTGAATCAATGTTATTCATTTATCTGCAAGACCACATGGAGTTCCTCAGACCTACAGCACAAGAAGCAGCAGATTCTAGAAGAATCTTAAGTTAATTTTGCTTCATGGGCAGCCTCATGGAGGCAGGGGACAAACAGAAAGGAAGATACATCAAAAACAGAGTGATATTTAATGTACAAACTGTTAACAGAATGATTAAGCAGCAG